AACACACAACAACACACAACAACACACAACAACACACAACAACACACAACAACACACAACAACACACAACAACACACAACAACACACAACAACACACAACAACACACAACAACACAACAACACACAAAAACACACAACAACACACAACAACACACAACAACACACAACAACACACAACACACACACACACACAACACACAACACAACAACACAACAACACACAACAACACACAACAACACACAACAACACACAACAACACACAACAACACACAACAACACACAACACACACACACACAACACAACACACAACAACACACAACAACACACAACAACACACAACAACACACAACAACACACAACAACACACAACAACACACAACAACACACAACAACAACAACAACAACAACAACAACAACAACAACAACAACAACAACAACACGAACACAAACAATACCAACACCAACAACACGACCAACAACACCAACACCACCAACAAACCCAACCACACCAACAACACAAACAACACTAACAACACTAGAAACACTACCACCACCAACAACACCAACAACACCAATACCAACAACACCAACAACACCAACACCACCAGCACCACCAACACCACCAACACCACAACCGCCACCAACCCCAACCACATCGCCGAAGCCTTTCAGTCGCTTTTACCAGACGCCCCTTCATATTTTTGGAAAGAAACTGGCCGCGTCGCTTTTACCAGACTTTCCCTGCCCTCTCCCCTTCATTTTTTCTTCGGTTCCTTTCTTGCTTACCTACCTTTCGTGTTCCCCCTCTCAAGTGATATTTTATGATGGTTTATGAAGCTTTGTTAGTTACTGTTAGTTGTTTCAATATGTTTCAATCGTGTTGATGTTCCATCACCGAGTAGTTCGATGATTGTTTGACATCATTTCATTCTATACGTATATACTTGTACAAACACACACACGCACACACACACACACCTTTTCGTTTCCAAATGGGTCTTGAGCTGAAACCGCAGAATCAAGGCAATGCTTCTTCAGCATCTGCAAACCGTCGGCGGCAAGTACCACGAAAGGGAAGCAAGACCAAGAATGCAGCTGTACAACTTGGCATTGCTACAGAGTACCATTCTAAGCTGGCACCAGATGTAGTTCGAAGTTCCTTCATCCTTGCTGAGCCCAAGATGCAGTCTCTTCAAAAGTTTGTGCGGATAGCTGGGCAGGAACATTGGGATTTCTGGGCGTTTCTGGGGATCCGCATAGAGTGAAGAATGGAATCCTCTTGGGATCCGCAGCTGTTGCATGCTGTTGCCATGAGATCAAAGGGCGCGTTTGTCGTAGGCCTCGTAGGCCCGTAGGCCATCTGGCCTCACTCTCTGTTTTGCGGCGCATTTGTCTAACCCGGCAGGAACCAGAAGAGCCTGCAGCGTTTGAAGACGATGAGCCTCGGATCAGTCATAGCTGGCATAGCTATCTTTAGCTTTTGTTTGTTTGATCGTTCCGCATATTATTTGCACTACATTGTTGAAGATTGCAGATGATCACCGTGTTTTGCACAGTGTGTTTTGAGATTTTAAACGTCTTTTAGATTCTTTCATTATTTTATAGTTGTGGTATTTGATGATTTTGATGGTATTTGCATCTTGCTTATTGTTTCCATTTATTTCCAAGTCATCACCCTTCCTCCAGGAGAGCATCTTGGAGAGCTTCGGCGACGATCGCAGCCCAGACGCGTCGCCCGGCAGTTTCTGGGACGAACCCACGCCGCGCTTCGATCTGTCACCCGCCAGCCGACGTACCTCAAAGGAAAGCCGCAGGAGATTGAAATTCTGATGGTAGGATACGGTGGGATACTGGAGATATAAACCATAGATAACCATAGATAACCATGGTAACTACAGAATCTATAGATATAAACCATAGATAACCACTGGATACTGGAAGTATTTGGAACTGGTATTTCAAAGTGGGATCGACACTGAATCAACGTCAACATGTAGCCATGGATCATCTGATTCCATCCAATTCCTATCCATGTTTTTCAGCCAATATATAAAAAGGATTAAAAGGGCTGCTCCACTGAGATCGTGGGTCAGGGCGAGGCACACAGCCCGCAGGAATTCAGCTTCCAGCCGCAGAATGTCGGCATTTACTCAGAAGACTGCAGGCTGCTGGGTCTGACCAGTTGCTCTGAAAAACAGAAAGTCGATCGAGTGTAGCCGACCTTGCAATTTTGATGCATGGCAAGATGTGATAGATCTAAGATGTCGCAAGGGGATGTGATTGTTTGATGTTTTAGACATATTTTGATCACCTCGAACATTGGATTAGAAAAAGCTACTCCCGCGTACAAGCATGGATCACAGTATAGTTATAATATCACAATCTTTCAGTCCAACCTGCGTTGGCAGATCAAGCTGCATTAAATATATCGACAGTGGGTGGATACCTAGTACCTATCCGACCACTTTTGGCGGGATGAATGTCCATGAAATAGCTGCTTATTATGCTTGCCAGGGTGCCAGTGTTTTGACCCATACCCGCGGTATACTGTGCGCGTATTATTATCCGTGATTATTGGTTTTATGATTATTTTTATTATAGATATGTACATCCTTTACTTATATTTTACTCATACACTTGTAGGTATGACTTATTCATACGTCTTTGTGTGTGTGTATGTGTGTCCCCGTCATGGCATCTTACGAAAGGCAGTCGGCGCACATCTGCTACCAGCACAGCTAGGCGACAGTCGACTGAAACAGATGCGTCCGTCCCATCAAGAGCCTTGGTGTATGAAAATAGGGTACACCCCACCGCCATGTTTTTCCTTCTTATCCTTCTTTCATATAGTGTTCCCATATGTTCCCTATAAAAATTCAACAATTTTGTGGGTATCCGAGAATCCCCCATTTTCAGACAGACCATTGCTGGATATTATTGGCTGTGGTGGTAGGAAACAAAAATTGCAGCATATTGTTGTTCAATGTGCTACAGTTCGTGCCTGAAACTTACTTTTGGACATTTTTGGACATGTGATGAAATGTGATCATATCCAACAGCCTGTTGGTTTGCAAAATATGATGCCCAAATTCCAGCACATACCCTCTGGTAATTTAACGTAGCTATTGAAAATGACCATTTTTAATGGGAAAATCCACTATAAATGGCCATTTTCAATAGCTATGTTAAATTACCAGAGGGTATTTGGATACCCCATTTTCAGACAAAGCCAGCCATAGGGTTCTACGTTGGTCATTTCCCAGCATGCACCTGCTGCGTCAAGTTGTGTAGCGGCAGTCCGACTGCTGAGGATTTGGCTTTAACAAGCAATCGACTGAAGAGTTCAGAATCTTAGCCACATGGGAAAGGTGGAACCAGTGGCATTGTCCTTCTAAACAATCTTCAACATCTCAAGAATCAGTACTATATGTACTATGTTGATAAACTGTGGGATTTCATTGCGTTGTGTTTGAAGTGATGGATACAAATCCATGCATTGCGTATGGCCACTCTAGAAATACAGGTACTAAAGTGGCAACGCGATCTAGGTTCCCTGATGATTGGGGGAGGGATATCTGGGGAATCTGGGGATATCTACTTCATAAATTGTCGTAGGTGTATATCCCGCTGCACCCGCATTTTTTTAGGCACCAAATTGGCGCGACCAGCCTCCGCTTCGGCCATTCTGCAAGCGCGCGCACGGCTGGAGATGCTGGAGGATGAGCAGTCACGGAGCACCATGGTGCAGCGGGTGAACGAAAGGGTCCGGCAGCTCGTGGAGGAGGCTGGCGCCACGTGAATTCCCCGTTGATTGCCATTTGAATGGGGGATAACCATGGATAACCGGGATAATGATGAACCAACCACAATTTTCCTTGGAAAAAATGCGTTTCTGTTGTTGCACAGTCCTAGTGTATATACTACCCTTTTCACCTTCTATACGGTATTGCATTGGCTCAAGAAATAGTGCGTATTGCAGGTTGTTAGTTTGTGGTTGGTAGTGGCTAGTTAACCGTTTCTACAGGTTATCAGCCGTATCGCGAAGCGATCGCTGGTTTCCTTTTGTCTCACTTTTTCGTTCTTTCTCTGTAGCTTTCGCAATGGCTTCAACCCCCGCGCTCCCTGCCCCGGGCGGGAACGCCTCGGCTGCTCTGGCCTTAGCGAATCCTACACAACCGGAGGAAGTGGTAATCCATTCAGGTGCGGCGACAACAGAAGGCGATATGAGTTACTTGGATGAAGAATTTGACCCATACCGTTCTGATCCACGCAGGGACATGCCAGGTGTTTTGGATGCTAGTTTTGACGTAAGTCAGCTCAACACCATCAACTTCAATCATGTGGACAATCGTACCGCCCAAGTGGCAGTGGTACAGCAGGGTGTTGATCCAAACGTGGCAAGTCAATTGATGGCTGCTCAACAGCAGGCATTGCAGAGCGAAGCAAATGCACTTCACTCTGAGGTTATGGAACGTCAAAGGAATGCTCTTGTGAGTGAAGCTCGAGATCAACTTGCAAGCATTGAGCAACAGGCAGCCGACGAGATTTCCAGGAAGAACCTTTTGTTGAATGAGCAAGCCGCCCAGGCGATGAGCGAGCAGAAGTCTGCTCAACTGCAGGTCACAGCGCAGGATCATCGCATCAGGGAACTGAGTGCCGAACTGACCCATGTCGTCAACAATGCAGGTACCTTGACATCGTCTGCGGAGAAGTCCAACGCCGATCTGCAGACAGCCCGTTCGGAACTTGCCGAGTATCGCACTCAGATTGATGCAATGAATCAACACGCTTTGAACATGCAGAGGCTGGCCGAATCTCAGAAGAAGGACTTCGAGGCAGAGATTGAGAAGCTTCGGAGGGAGCAGAAAGAGCTCATCCGGAACCTAAAGTCTCAACCTCTGGAGGGAACTCCTGGACTCATGATTCATTATGGTCCTGGAAAACCCCTTCCAAGACCCTCGAAGCCCACAGGTACCATCATTGAGGAGTTAGCTTCGGGAAGCAAGAAGCCCCAGCGTTCCTCAGACGCTGATGATGAGCATTTCATGGCAGAACCTTCAAAGCCACCGGGACTTCCCGGAGGTGGACCTCCAGGAGATGATGACGATGACGAGGACTTCAACGACGAGAAAGGTCGAAAAGAGAAGAAGAACAAGAAGAAGGACCGCAAGACCAGTCGCGGAAGATCGAGACGACGGCGACGAAGAGATCCTTCATCATCACCTTCTTCGTCTTCATCACCTACTACGTCAAGTTCGGATTCTGAGAGTTCCTTTGCACGAAAGGTCAAAAAGGCCTTAGAGCGTTCTAGGACTAATGATCATAAGGCCAAAGAGTCTGATAGGATCCTAGTACCTAAGTTCCCTCAACCCGAAAATTATAGGAATTGGAGAATCCGAGTAAGGGATGCCATAATTGCTGCTTCAGCCAAACCCGACCTTGCTTTTCAGTGGGTAGAAGAAGTTTTCAGGACAGACCAATCTGTTGATGCCTTGAAGGACTCAGGTAAGTTCGTGACCCTGGACGCAAAGCTCATTGCAGTAGGAGAAGGGGTTCAGAGAAACCACGCAAGCCTCTAAGCCTCTAAGCGCCTAAGCCTCTAAACGCAAAGAGACTGGGCAAAAGCGCATAAGCCTCTAAGCCTCTAAGCGCCTAAGCCTCTAAGCGCAAAGAGACTGGGCAAAAGCGCATAAGCCTCTAAGCCTCTAAGCGCCTAAGCCTCTAAGCGCAAAGAGACTGGGCAAAAGCGCATAAGCCTCTAAGCCTCTAAGCGCCTAAGCCTCTAAGCGCAAGAGACTGGGCAAAAGCGCATAAGCCTCTAAGCCTCTAAGCGCCTAAGCCTCTAAGCGCAGAGAGACTGGGCAAAAGCGCATAAGCCTCTAAGCCTCTAAGCGCCTAAGCCTCTAAGCGCAGAGAGACTGGGCAAAAGCGCATAAGCCTCTAAGCCTCTAAGCGCCTAAGCCTCTAAGCGCAAAGAGACTGGGCAAAAGCGCATAAGCCTCTAAGCCTCTAAGCGCCTAAGCCTCTAAGCGAAAGAGACTGGGCAAAAGCGCATAAGCCTCTAAGCCTCTAAAGCGCAAAGAGAATGGGCAAAAGCGCATAAGCCTCTAAGCTCTAAGCCTCTAAGCGCAAAGAGACTGGGCAAGACCGCATAAGCCTCTAAGCCTCTAAGCGCCTAAGCCTCTAAGCGCAGAGAGACTGGGCAAAAGCGCATAAGCCTCTAAGCCTCTAAGCGCCAAAGCCTCTAAGCCTCTAAGCGAAAGAGACTGGGCAAAAGCGCATAAGCCTCTAAGCCTCTAAGCGCCTAAGCCTCTAAGCGCCTAAGCCTCTAAGCGCCTAAGCGCCTAAGACCAGCGCATAAGCGCCTAAGCGCCTAAACGCCTAAGACCAGCGCGTAAGCGCCTAAGCGCCTAAGCGCCTAAGACCAGCGCCTAAGCGCCTAAGCGCCTAAGCGCCTAAGCGCCTAAGACCAGCGTATAAGCCGCATAAGCGCCTAAGCGCTCAGCGCCCCAGACCAGTCCATAAGCGCATAAGCGCCTACGCGCCTAAGACCAAACCAGGGCTTGAACGAAAGAGATGCCTGAAACGAAAGAAGAGCATACAGAGACGAACGAAGGACTTCGAACGAAAGTCTGGAGGAGTCCAACGAAAGAGCGAGGATTTCAAACGAATGAGAGGAGTCGAACGAACAAGACAGGACTTGAACGAA